CCACAAAAGTGAGCCCTCCAAACAATACATGGGTTTCAGAATAATTCGGAGAAAATTTGCCACAATAGCGAACCTAGCTACTAATCAGGAGCCAACATTAAGATACCTACGCAGCTTGGGACTAGCATTTCAGAAGGGCTGCCCCTGGCCAATGTGTCCCCGACGAACCCCCAGCAGACATTATATAAACGATTAAACGACACCCTAAAGAAACCTTAAAAAAAACCCTAAAAAAAACACCAAAGAAAACCTAAATGAAACCTTAAAATAACACCGAAAGAAAACCGTAAAGGAACCCGAAATGAAACCCTAAATAAAACTTACAGAAACCCTAAAGCCGAAAGAAACCCTAAATAGAACTTTAAAACCTAAAGAAACCTTAGATGTCTGAAACCTTCAAAAAAAAATAGATTAAATTTTAAAGAAACCTTAAAGAGACCTCAAAAGACATTCCAGAGAAACCAAAAACGACACCCTAAAGAAACCCTAAATGAAACCCTAAAGAAACCCTGAATCAAACGCTAAAGAAACCCTAAATAAAACTTTCATAATGAAACCCTAAACCCTCAAGAACCCTACAAGAAACCCTAAAGAATCTTTGAAACCACGGAAAGACCATTGAAGACGATCAAAAAAACGATGAAAACCATCCAGACATCGTTGAAAACCCATGGGAAAATGGGCGAAACTAAAATGTTGCAATTATCGGGCAAATTTACGATTTATTTACCCAAGTTTGCGACTTCAGTTCCGAAATGCTGCAAATAGCATGCAGAATGAGAGATGTTAGTTCAGAAACGCAGCAAATAGCACGCAAATCAGAGAGATTTTGGTTCCAAAATGCAGCAAATAGCACGCAAATCAGAGATTTTAGCCCCAAAATGTAGCAAATAGCAAGGAAAACTGCCCCAGACTGAAAGCAAAATAAAAAAATCATCGCCCCTTAAATTCTATGTATGTAGTTCTGCAAGGAATTGAGTCTCTTACATGTATAAGGGTATATATTACATACATCATTCCCTTTGGAGGGAGGCAACCCTGGATGTCTGAAGCTCCTGAACTGGAAAATAAAGAAAAAAAACGGGTCCCCCGAAATGATCAATTTATTTTGATTTTGTATTGAAAAAAATAGTTTTTCAAACTCACCTAAGGGTACGTACCCCCATGACTGGTCCCGTAGAAAAATGATAAATTCTATTTGGCAATGAAAACCAATGCAATTAGGTGGTGTTCCTCGGATGAATCTTCCCTTGGGACTTCTATTCTATGTATGAAGTTTTGCAAAGAAGTGAGTGTCTTACATGTCTTAGGGTGTCTATGAGAACGGGGGGATGCATAAAAGCAAAATTCTATACAGAAATGTTGGGAGTGTTCGCATAAAAAATGGTATAAAAAACTGTTAGGAGTGTTCCCATGAAAGTTGGTTGGGTCAGCAAATACGATACATCAATGATTCAATGTTTGTGTTTTTTTTTGTTCTGGGGTTGGCGGCAGGGACGGGAACCCTTAAGGACATGAGGTGTAAATTTGATGTAAATTTGCATCAAAGTTGCACTTTTTGATGTGTAAGTTTACATCAAATTTACACTATCACTAAACTTACACATCATAAATCATAAGTATAAGTATAAATTTACATCAAACTTACATGTCAACACTGTAAATTATATCAAACTTACACGCAAAAGTGTAAACTTATACTTGTAAATGTAAGTTTGGTGTAAGCTGACACCTCAAACATGTAAGTGTTCATCAAATTTACACTTGTGCATGTAAGTTTACATCAAAGTTACACTCCTGATATGTAAATTTAGTGTAGGTTTGATGTAAACTCACACCTCAAAACTGTAAGTTTGATAAAAACTTACACCTCATGTCCTTAAACATCACTGAAAATCAGAATGTGTTCACAGCAAATTGTTTTTTTTCACGGAAAAAAATGTTTTTATACACAAAAGATGATTATTTTCAACTGCCCAATTTAGATGTATAGCTATGGAGGTAGCCTTGCTGGGCCTCCTCAAAGTTTGGGAAGGCACTCAGCGCCAATGACGTAGCCAAATGCAGCCACTACATACATAGAATATCATAGAATATAGGTCCCCAGTGAAAATATTCATCCATTTTTTCAGGAACACCGCCTAATTCCATTGGTTTTCATTATTTTCCATTGCAAAATAGTTTCTTTTTAATAGTCCTTCGACACCGGTCGTGGGGGGCACCCTTCGGTGAGCTTGAACAATTTTGTGAGGGATTCTATTGTGTTCTGGTGGATTTTAGTGGGGTGAAAAATTTGAAAAATATCCATTTATGACCATTTATGCTGCAGCACGGGTTATATGTTGATAATTCAAACAATTTTAGTGGGGTGAAAGTTAAAAAATGATCATTTATGTCCATTTAGGCCGCAGCACGGATGATATTTTGATAATTCAAAGGATTTTGGCGTGGTGAAAATTTGAAAACTGTTCATTTATGTCCATTTATGCTGCAGTATGAGTGATATTTTGATAATCCAAAGGATTTTAGTGAGATGACAATTTGAACAATGTCCACTTATGTCCATTTATGCTACAGTACGGGTGAAAATTTGATAATAAAAAAAAAAAAAAAAACATCTTCCAGAATTAAAATTATTCTATGTACACTCCTGGGATATTCTATGTACACCGTTTTTTTTCCAATTCTGGAAGATGCCCCAAAACCTGTTTTTCAAAATTCTGTATTCTATGTTCTCGTACTTTCTTTTATATATATTAGATGTCTATTAGATGTATAAAGGTGTTAAACATGTATAATATACATGTATCTAGATGCACAACGATGCATATAGATGTATATAGTAGTTATATGTAGTATTATGCAACTATAAAATGACAATAATGTCATATCTTCCTTACCACAAAGTACGATTATCATTTTATAACAGGCAGGCCGCCTGCAGGTAGTAAGTTGTTTTGGTTTCTTATATTATGCCTATTGTTGTAGCAGTGACCTGAATCACTATTTGCCATTTTATAATGTTTCAAAAGCTTATTGCATGCGTGCAAGATTCATGTTTGTTTTTATTGAATATCCATTATATAAGGTACACTTACTTTGCAAATCTTTGCAATATAAACAATTTCTTTTGATAATTACAGGTTTTACCAGCACAAACTGAGAAAAACATACCCGGAGAATCCCGGAGAAATCAGGTTTGCACAGTTTTTGTTCTTATAAGATGCCCTGGAGGTGCCTTATAGAATGACAGTTTGTCACTTTCAGTATAAATTTGTGATAATTTGTGGAATTTCCACTCCCACCTTATAAAATGGATAAAATGTAATCACCAAAAAAGTAAATTGTCTGGGCCACGATCTATAAGCTGTTTTTTTGGACTATGGTCTGTCATATTATAAGCTGGCGTTTTTTCTTATAAAATGCTAATTGGAGTTCCCTATATTGCTGTAGCGTTGAGTATCTGAATTCTATAAACAGGCATCCCCATGGAACTCCCATTTCATAAGGAATTTCTTATAGATTGGCGCCCCCCGGGTTCAGCTTAATATTGTAAGGGGGATGTTTAAGTGCTGGTGCAGAGCAGGTCCCCCCCATGTCTCATTCAATCAAAAATAATAATGTATAAACCTTCTTGACACCTCTTTCCGTGGCCGGGCTTGACCACCTGCTCCCCCCCCCCGGTTCCTTCATTCGATGGAAATGTATGAAGGGGGGGTAGATACACACGGAGGGCAGGGGGGTGATATGCATATCATATATATATGTATATCATAGGTATGCATATGTATATATATATATTATATATATATATGTATATATTCTGTATAATATATATATATATTCTGTACAATATATATTTTATGTACAATAAATATATATATATATGTATATGTTCTGTATCTATGATATATTACCTATCTGTATCTATGATATATATATATATACACATAAGAGTTACTAGTATCTTAGCCGTCAAATGGGTTGCAACCAGCTCAGCAACTAGATTCACCACCGACCCATGTCTTATGCTAGCATGTTCATCCACGTCAATTTCTTTTAAGCCACGATTGGTGCACCAAACGTGATGTATTGCATACGCCAGTCAAATACAACAATTTCATTTACCAGTGATTTAGTATGATTATTGACGGAATATCATTGGTAAATCACTGGCAAATGAATTTTGTTGTATTTGATTCATTAACACACATATACCCTCTGGTTATTTAACATAGCCATGGAAAATGGCCCATAGAAATAGATGGTTTACCTATTAAAAATGGTGATTTTCCATGGCTATGTAACAAATAACCAGACGGTATTGATGAAATCACGACAATCATCCACCCTTTTTGTGTTTCTATCCACGCTTTGCAGCATTCTTCTTGCTGAACTCCCAAGGTTTCATCAGCCACGTGGCAGCTGACCAGATCTAGTTCAGCAGTTCGGGAGTTCGGGGATGTTCCTATTAAAACCATTGAAAACCTAGGCATAACTGGAGAAAAATAGGGAAAATAGGGAAAATTACTACATCATAAACTGGTTGGTGGTTTCAAACATGTTTTATTTTCCATAATGTATGGGATAATCCTTCCCATTGACTTTCATATTTTTCAAGAGGGTTAAAACCACCAACCAGATTAAAAACCCCCCTTTCAAATGATAAATTCGAGGATTTTCCCAGATACAAACCTCCTATGTTATAATCATGTAGTTACAGAGGATGTTCTACTGTTTAGTTCAAGGATTTGCGCCCCCCCTAGGTATAATTGGCTTATAAACCTCATACATATATATATATATATATTATATATATAGTTAGTTCATTACCATAAACTCTAGTCACATTAGAGTTATTGCGCCAACTTCGCTATCATCAAGCAGCCATAAATCCGAACAAAATCACCATGTTTGGTACACAAAAACGCCATATTTTCCCAGGGTTTTCAAACATGTTTTCGTCTGTCGGTTCGTGGTGGCCCCCAAGTTAGCGACAGGTCGATGGATTGTAGCGAGAGGTCCATGGATTCCCTGGGACTCCTTTCTCGGAACACCTCGGAGGAGTCCTTCCCCTTGAGGCGGAGCCGTTTTTTGTGCCGGGTCATCCGTGGTGACCTCTGGTTATATCGTGGCGTCATGGGATATAATATGATATAATACATAATCCATTATATATATATGTAAATATATAAATATATAAATATAAATATATATATATAAAGGTGTAAATATACACATACCATAATATAATTGGCATAAATGGAAAATCCATTGCTTTTAATAGGTAATGTACATCGAAGTAAATGGGTCATGACTTCCATATGTTAAATAACCATAGGGTATGTGTAAATCCCCTAAACCATCCTAAACAATGGTTTCTGGGGGGGTGTTTACTAGGGGATGGGATGAACGTATGGAAAGTTATGGATCTGTCTGAAAACGGGGGATAGTGCAGATACCCCATTAAGAACATGTTTAAAAACCAGAGGATTTACGGTTACCCTATTTTTAGACAAACCCATATACATCTATGATATGGTGATATTATATAGGGACAAGTCGATAGAAGTATCAATGCTTGGGCGTTGGGATAACGATCAACCAACTACTATGAGGATTTTGTATGATTAAATCAATGAAGAATGGATCTGGATTTGACTGAGCATTGATATACGTATATATATAATATATATATATATACATACCGTATATAAACCCATGATATGGGGATATGACAAGGATATAATAGGAATATATATATATATATACATACATATATGCATGGATATATACCCTCTGCTAAACTAAAATTTTGCTATGCAGCATCACCATGTTCATGGGAAAATCCACTATTTCGACTGGGTCATTTTCCAGTTCGCAAACTGTAAACGTTTACCACAGGGATTTTTCAACGATCTGTGATAGTGAAAAGTCGGACATGCCCTCCATAGCTATACAGGATGGGGCCCCCGTGTGAACGAAAACGCGTTCAGTTGCCGAAGATTTTTGTGGCTGAATTCTATGGTTTATGGTAGATATAACTATAGTATACTAGAGTTAATGTGGTTTTTAAACCAACATTCACATCACTGGGTGGCCCCATCCTGTAGAAGATGGCTCATTTTTGCTTAAGTACTTTCTACTCACATGGTGATTTTCCAGTTCGCGAACTGTAAAATGGTCCACATAGTTCGATGATAATTCTGCGTCAGCTGAGAAAAGCAACCGGAGTTACCCTCTGGTTATGACTAACATAGCCATGGTATAGATGGCCCATAGAAATAGATGGTTTACCTATTAATCATGGTGATTTTCCATGGCTATGTAACAAATAACCAGAGGGTACATTGGTCAGAAACAATTGGGTGAACTTATATGATTGGTTTGTGTGCCTCTGGTCGCAAAGTTGGTTTATGACAGGAATCAACTAGCCTCTGGTTATTTGTTACATAGCGAACTGGAAAATTAGCATTGTTTGTAGGTAAACCATCTATTTCTATGGACCATGTTCCATGGCTATGTTAAATAACCAGAGGGTAGACTCTATGGCAGGTGTATCTAATACCAATTTGAATAGGATTTGGAAATCAACTCACATAGCAGGGTGGGGGCACCTTGATGCACCTTGTAGTAGTTGTTCCCCCCAAAGAAAGATCCCAAAACTATGAAGGTCAGTAGTAGGTCCTTGGGTTGTTGCCTTCACCCTTGATTCTGTTCCGGCCATGGGTCAACATTCAACAGACCTGAGGGGCAGAGAATATCACCAGTACATCTCTACAACGGGAACAAATACATGAAGCGTTTGCTTTCCACAGTAAAAAAACACAATGGACTCACCCAGCTGTGAGGAAAGAAGTGGAGGTGGAGGACTGATGCCATGGGTCAAGCCTGCTGGGGGTGACAAAAAACCAACAGGATTATGATTTTTCATGGGATTTATAGCTTATTTATGATAGCTAAGTTGGGGCAAGCCACTCCAATTTCACTGGGGTTATGGAACTTATACTTATAGATCCTATAGTGAAAGGGGTTTATACACCAACTTAGCTATCTAGCGGCCACACCTTCGGATTCGGCCATAGCTTCTGAAATCAAGTGTGACTGGTGTGTGATTCTTGGGGGTTCGCCTTTAAGTCTTGTCAGGAGGTGTTTTCAAGTCGGTTCAAGCATCACTGAAACGGGAGAATTTTGCAATTTTTGTTCATACTGTAAATGTTTTCGAAATCCTGTACCAGTTGGCAGCCGTTAGGGATTCCTATGAAACATCGCAAATGATGGGATAAAATAATATATACCAAATGAGATATTATACAATGGGATATTAAATCCCAGCTATTTCGTTATTGTTAAAAGGCCCTGCAAGGTATTTTTGATCCACCAAACATAGGGTAACATTGGATAAATTGGTACGTTTTATGGTTTTATGGTGTTTGTATGTTTTAGTAATCTTCGGAAGCCACGTTGAGATTTCCTGGATCTCAAAAGTAGCAAGTTTTCTGGATGGGTTGAGACTGCCAAGAAGTTGATAGGTCTCTTTTTAGGATACCAATCTGAGACAATGCTTTTGATAGCAGTTGAGGCAAGATCAGGCACGATCCTCCAGCCCATGTGATGGTGGATGACCCAGCTGCGAGTCGAAGAGCTTGGCTTCAAAGTTCCACCCAAAAAACATCTTTCAACTCACCAGCAGTAGACCAACAGACAATGGCCAAATCATCGATGATTTACCGATGTAATTAATTACCTATATGAAACGACTAAAAATTCAGAATGCTGCGGCTGATGTTCCATTGATTCCATTGCCATTGCCCCATTGCCATTGCGGTGTCAGTTGGAGGCACATAATAGCGCCCCTGAAATACCCTCTGGTAAACTAACATAACTATGGAAAATCACCATTTTCAATGGGTAAATCCACTATAAATGGCCATTTTCAATAGCTATGTTAAATTACCAGAGGGTAACGCCAGGAGGAGGCCAAGGAAAAGGAGGTGCTCAAGACCCCGTGCGGAGGCCCAGGATGCAACGGGTGCGGGCACGCAGTGCCTCGTGGGGTGGTTTGGAAACTCAGGATTTGAAAAGCCCATGAACCATCATAAACCTCCCTAAACCACATGTATCTAACATTTATGGTTCGAGAATGTTCGAGATACCTTCCATAAACCCTATAATTAGTTAGATCTAGTTGGCGGCAGATAAACCAACTTTGCTATTGTTTTGGGGCACCATCATATCGGCACGGGGGTCGCATTTGCCCCTGAACCATGTTGGGTCGCATTTGCCCCTGAATGAAGTGCGATGAAGTGGGTTCAGGGGCGAACGTGACCCTCGTTCAGGGGCGAATGTGACCCCTGCTTTTGCGTGGCAGGCGCAATAGTTTCAGAGCCTCAAAGGGATTTTTTTCCACCCTAGAGAGTCATATTCACGTGTTATGCGACGTTCCAACAGCCATTTCAATCAACTTCCAGGACACTATGGATGCTATGGTGTACCGGATGCTATGGTGTACCATTGCTACGTTGTAACATCCAATTCGAGCAACTTCGAATTCTACGTTCCAACAGCCATTTCAATCAACTTCCAGCACGCTATGGATGCTACGTTGTAACACCCATTTCGAGCAACTTGGAAGACACTTTGGATGCTACGTTCCAACAGCCATTTCAATCAACTTCCAGCATGCTATGGATGCTACGTTGTAACACCCATTTCGAGCAACTTGGAAGACACTTTGGATGCTACGTTCCAACAGCCATTTCAATCAACTAGCAGCACGCTATGGATGCTACGTTGTAACATCCATTTCGAGGAACTTGCAAGACGCCTCGGATGCTACGTTCCAACAGCCATTTCAATCAACTTCCAGGACACTATGGATGCTATGGTGTACCATTGCTACGTTGTAACATCCATTTCGAGCAACTTCGAAGATGCTTTGGATGCTACGTTCCAACAGCCATTTCAATCAACTTCCAGTACGCTATGGATGCTACGTTGTAACACCCATTTCGAGCAACTTGGAAGACACTTTGGATGCTACGTTCCAACAGCCATTTCAATCAACTAGCAGCACGCTATGGATGCTACGTTGTAACATCCATTTCGAGGAACTTGCAAGACGCCTCGGATGCTACGTTCCAACAGCCATTTCAATCAACTTCCAGGACACTATGGATGCTATGGTGTACCATTGCTACGTTGTAACATCCATTTCGAGCAACTTCGAAGACGCTTTGGATGTTACCTTCCAAGAGCCATTTCAATCAACTTCCAGGACACTATGGATGCTAGGTTGTAAGATCCATTTCGAGCACCTTCGAAGACGGTTTGGATGCCCCTAAAGGTCCCCCAGTCCCCCTAAATGTCCCCTTGTCCCCAGGTTTAACCCTAAAGGGTTGAGCAACGTATTGAATAGAGAGGCAAGTTACCATATGCCCCCAAGTCCCCCCTGAAGGTTCCCCAGTCCCCAAATGCCCCCTTGTCCCCAGGTTTAACCCTAAAGGGTTGAGCAACATATTGAATAGAGAGGCAAGTTACCATATGCCCCCAAGTCCCCCCTAAAGGTTCCCCAGTCCCCCTAAATGCCCCCTTGTCCCCAGGTTTAACCCTAAAGGGTTGAGTAACATATTGAATAGAGAGGCAAGTTACCATATGCCCTCAAGCCCCCCGTTCCCCAGTCCCCCTAAATGTCCCCTTGTCCCCAGGTTTAACCCTAAAGGGTTGAGCAACATATTGAATAGAGAGGCAAGTTACCATATGCCCCCAAGTCCCCCCTAAAGGTTCCCCAGTCCCCCTAAATGTCCCCTTGTCCCCAGGTTTAACCCTAAAGGGTTGAGCAACATATTGAATAGAGAGGCAAGTT